CTGCTATGGTGAAAGAGCAGCATCAACCATCCCTCTCCCTTCCTAGCCTTGCACAGACATGCTCTCCATCAGAGGCACATGGCTTTTGCTGCAGGCTCCAGCCACTCGGGCTAGTCTGAAGCTTCCTCCCAACCCTTAGCTGGAGGATCAAGAGGGACTCCTAACTTCCACCACCAGGAGCACCTCTCAATTCTGCATTTCATCTGAAGGCCCTAATCTGCACTGTCATCCAGGATGAGATGTGAGAGATCTGTTCCAACCCTGACAATAAGTGATGCTGGAGCAGGATCTTGAACCCACGAACACCTTGCATGGATGCATGGCATCCTATGAAAATTAGCATGCCTACATCGTGTTTTTGTCCCTACACTTCTCCTGGAATTTCTCTCTTTGCTTGGGGATGATTCAGTTGAAATAATACAGCACACATGGCTAGAAGGACAAAAGTTAAGTGCAGGGTCTGGAGAGATGGCTTCTCCATTTTGAGTAGTTTTTCTCCCAAAGGACCAACCCAACGGAGCAGCTGAAAAGCTGCTTTAACTCCAGTTTCAGGTGGACTCTAATGACCTCTTCTGGCCACTGGTGGAATTGCATGCATGTGGTGTACAGCTTTGCAGCAGGCAGAACACAGATATAAATAAAAGAAATAAATCTTTTTAAAAATTGCACCAGTGCATTTTTAAGGCAAAAACAACAAAAAATGTCCCAACATATCTTGGAATGCATTCTCTCTGCTGTCGGGTTATCACTGATGCTATATTTCAAAAAAAAAAAAAAAAGAGGCAGATAGCTTTGATTTTTCTAATTTCTTTTTTAAACATTTTATTGATTCTCTGTTGGTTTCACATCATGCATCCCAATCCCATTCTTCCTCCTACCCATTCCTTCACATCTGAGCTCTGCCTTTGAAACCCCCTCCCCAAAACATAACAAAATTTAAGAGAAAAACCAAAAACCCAAAATTAAAAACAAACAAACAAACCTTGTCAAGGAAGATGTAGTGTGGTCCAATGAGTCACACAGTATACACCCTTTGGTCCATGCATCTTTCCTTGTAAGTGTTCCAGGCCTCTCTGGCTTCTCTGCACTATAGATAATGGACATTCACTTTACTCCTGATAGCCTATGGATGCCTTGTGTCATGGAGATCCTGCAGCTTTGGATCTGCAGAATCGGGCCCTTCACATGCTCCAGCACTTCATAGATAAAGAGGATGTTGGGGCAGGATAACTCATAGCCCTGTTTCTGGGCCTGGGGGTAGCTGGGTTGGTCAGGCTGCCAGCTTTCCTTCATCTTCACCACCCAGGCAAACTCTCCAGCACACCCCAGCTAGTTCACACAATGCAGTGGGCAGAATGTATAGAGGCAGGTCTCCTGCTTTCATGCCCTCACGTCTGACTCACCCACACTCAAACCACAGGGACAGCTCTACTGTTTTGCCGAGGTGATGTGCCAGGCCCACAATCCCAATTGCCACAACTGGTGAGAGGCTGACCCAGCTCCTCTGTTCTCATGCCCCGGAGGCCAACTCTCCCACCAGCCGCAGGTGGCATTTGCTCAGGTGAGGCAGGCATCTTTCCCTTAGCCTTGCCAACACAAGGCAGAAGATGGGGGTGGACCCAGCTCTTCTGCTCTCACACCCTCAGGGCCAGCTCACGGGTACCACAACCAACAGAGTCAGCTCTACTGTGATGCTCAGTCCAGGTACAGGACCCACTCTCCCCAGTGCTGACGTTGGTGAGGGGTGGGTCCAGTCCCCCCAGTGCTAAAGCCATCTTGGAGCAGGGTTAACTCTTTGCATCCCTATCCAGTCTGCAGTGGTAACAGGAGCCACTGATAACAACATGGACCAAGGCTGTGGCAGGGCAACATATCCAGACTTGGCCTTTGACAGCAGCCTAGGCCCAGAGGACACCAGGGTCCCTGGTGTCAGCAGAGGCCACTTGAATCTGTATGGTACCAGCAGAAGCACAGCCCTCAGACACTGACATGGTCCTAAGTAATGGCCCAGATCCCCACCCACCTCTCTGTGGCCCTTGATGTCAACACAGGCCATGGACATGTAAACAGATCCCGACTATGTTTGCAACATGAACCCAACGTGGTCTCCGGCTGAAGCCCAAGCCTGGATCTCACCATGGCCATGGTTGGCAGTGGAGGTCATTCAGGTCAGTGTGGACCCAACAGTACCCTGTCCCCAGGTGGTGGCCAGATTCCAGGCATCCGCCCTGACTTTGATAGCAACAGGAGCTGAGACATCAACTCAGAGCCTGTCTGCAGCAGGGCCTTGGACCCAGACATGACCCTCAACAACAGTCCCAACCCAGATGTCACTATGGTGCTAGGTGGCAACACAGGCAGCTAGGACATGCATGCCCCCTGTGGGGCTATATATCCCTTTGATACCAACAAGGTCACAGCTGGTGGCCCAGATTGCAGGTGGCTGCAAGGCCCTCACTGGTGAGCGGAGTCAAGCAAATCAACACAGACAACCCCACAGCTGTGTCAGGGCCATGGACAGGACACTGCTCTTGGCAGCAGCCCAGGCAGGGACATCATCATGACCCTATGTGGCAAGCAGGTCATGGATTTCTTTCATACTCCCTTAGTACTCCTTTCCTAAGAGGCTGTAGAGCAATACCTGTGTGTTTCTTGTTAATTTTGTGTACATGATCATTTCATGAAATATGTATACAGGATGCCATTTTTAGGGATAGCTAAATATATGACCACAAAAAGACAAGATAGATATTTTTTTGTCATCATGCAATGGATATCCACTGAATTGGCAACATCATCCAATTCCAAAGCTGTGTGTAGCCCAGGCTGGCTGGAAACTCTCAATGTAGCCCAAGCTAGAAATACAAGAGGTTCTGCTATTATAGGAGGTTCTAGAGATACTGGAATGAGACACCACACCTGACGAAGGAAATTGGTTCTAAGACAGGAGAGTAGGAAATCACTTCCTTATTATTAACAATACAGTTATTTTACTCAATAGGGGCTTAAAGGGAGCAGTCACTATAAACAGCAAGTAGCCTTAGCAAAATACCAAAATAGCAACAAGAACAAAAGAAAGAACAAATAAATAGCAAACCTCAAACCATAACAAAGAACAGCAAAAACCCAAAACAAACAAAATCCAACCCAAAACCAAACAATAAAAATTAAGCTAAGCCACATTTTCTTGCTACAGATTGAGCAGCACAGACCTACAGCCTGTGGCTGACCTTGAAAACAGGGTAGGAAGGCCATGCTTCCTTGGGGTTTTGGAGGTCAAGCCCACATTGAGGCTAAGGAAGAGACATGATCCTAGAGCACTCTTTGTGAACCTATGGGAAACTTTTAATAAATTATCACCCACTGCCTATCCTGTAATGTTTTGTCCACGGTTTGATCGTTCCAGTCAACATACATTTGCGTACTTCCTAGAGACCCAACAAAAACGTGGGCAGCATCTGACTGCCCAAGAACATCAAAGATGACTCAGATGTCTTCTATAAATCCTTTCTCAGGACCAGTCACCTCAGTCAGGACTGAAGAATACCAACTCATTTTACATACAGAGGGGAAAATGGCTAACAGGAGGCATGAGGGACTGCCGCCATCTCTGTAGGGCATCATCTTCAGCAACACTTGGGCTTGACATTGAGTCAGCTTCAACCGCTGGGCTGGAGAACGACATATGGTGCTTTTGGGTGTGGCCTGTCTGGAACAGCTTGATGTCAACAGTCATCTGTGACGGATCTACTCTGCACAGGGAGGGCTGAGGACTCAATCAGCTGCCAAAGCCTTCCACACAAAACTGAAAGAAAAAGCCTTGCTCACCAACATCTCTACCTCCCATGTTGTACGCTTTCCATGGACCACGTTCTGTTGAGTGTCAGGGTTCTCAGTAATTCTTGTCTCAGGTTTTCTGTATCTCCAGCTCATTTGTGAAGCTTTCTTTTTGTCAGGAGTACTGGGTCAAGAGACCCATGGATCCGATTGGGCCTGGATCACCTGGAGGTCAGCTGGTATATGTCTCACTGGTGAGTTCACAGCTATCGGGGGG